CTAAGCTAAGTGAGAAGTAGCAGTAAAGCACATCCAATGTATGTGTTTCACTGAAAAGAGGAAGCAGAACCTGTATACAGTGAATAAAATACGTAAATATGGATGCCCCATGTACAAATACTAAGAAAAAAAACAATATTGATCAGATTATTTACATTGGGCTGATTTCTTGAATTTCCTTCAAATTAATATAAATGGGTCACAATACAAGCTGCTAGTGGGCTACAAACCAGCCCTTGCAGAACCATACCTGAACGATCTAGTTTTGAGTTTGTGTAAGTTTTTTAATTGATTTATTTTAGAACAATCTGTATGTATCTATGGTCCTTTTGGTCCAAAACATACCTTAAAAACTATTTTTCAAAACACACCACACACCCCCCCCAAAAACCCCCCCCCCCCCCCACACCACCCCCCCCCCCCCCCCCCCCCCCCAAAAACAACAAAACCCCCCCCCCCCCCCCCCCCCCCCCCCCCCCCCCCCCCCCCCCCCCCCCCCCCCCCCCCCCCCCCCTCAGTTTCTATAGAGCATGCCTATTCCAGTACTGTTCTGTTGTGACAGTTTTACAACCTTGAGTACTACACAGGAAAGCTCCCTGACTCCCAGGAGCATCTCTACATTTGTGCCTATATCAGGGGCGGACTGACAACTCATGGGGCCCCCGGGCAATAGGGGATCATGGGGCCCCTGTGTCCTTGCCCAAACTCAAAAAAGCCAATGAAAAAGGTACCAGGGGCATCTCATGGGGCCCCCTACTGACCCCGGGCCCTCGGGCAGTGCCCGAGTTTCCAAATAGTCAGTCCGCCCCTGGCCTATATAGAGGGTTGTATAGTTCAACACTCTTAAAAGTTGGTAAATCACATCAAACAAATATTTCTTTTTAAAATGAGGTTGATTAGTACCTAATGTATACTACATTTAAAGCTCAAACTATTTTCATTTTGGAAAGAGTAAGGACAGTTTAAAAGGTTGTTTTTTTTGGAATCAGAGTTGGACTTTACATGTGGTTATTGCCAGTGGTTATTATAATTGCTAGCAGTAATCATTACGATCAATGTTCAATGGCTCCACAGGTGGGATTGATAGGGGATCTAAATATTTTTTTTTCCTGCAACCCGTGTTTGCAAGAAAGAAAATCGCTCCATCTGTGGCCAGTTTTTAAAACCCTTGTAAAATTGTATTGCTGTCTTAATAGGAAGATTCACCCTCTCTCTTGGTCCTAATGACCACTGTGTCCACAACAGAAAAATCTGGAGATATTTTCCTTTATTTTCCATCTAGCACATACAAAGTAAGAGGAAATCTGTCTAAATGAGGAAAATCCCTTCCTAGTCAGTTGTCACTGGAACAAGTGCCTCCATTTGAAGATTTCCTTTTTCAAGTTGGTGTGGTGGCAACTAAAAATTTGGGATTTTTCCTCACCTTCACTCCCGGTAACATAGGTCACCACGACAAACATAAAGAGTGAATGTCCCTTGTGAAGGCACAGATAGGAGGAAAAGCCAGACAGCCATCAACACTTCATCCAAAACTAAAAAAAGTTTGGGTTTTGGATGCACTTTAACATGGAGTCCCATCACTGGAGAAAATCACTTGAAGAATTTATGGTAGTTATTGTGGGCCTTCTCATGGTGTTTTTACGTGTATCAGCGCTTCTCCATACCTTTGGTGTGAGAATGGCAACACTGAATGGAGTACACCAGTTCAACTGCAAGTGATATCATGATCATGTTTTAATGCTGCACTACCGGCTACAGCAGCAAATCCAGGGCTGCTTAAAGTGGTTGTAAAGACTAAAGGTTTTTAATGTTCAGCTCCCCCTCTGCCCTCCCTCTCTAGATCCAGCGCTGTGCCTGACAGTAGGGGTGCTGCTCTCTCTCTCTATCCTCACTGGACTCATTGGCTCCTACCTCTGTCGATCAAATCCAGTGACGAGGATGAGGCAGGCCCGAGCCACACTGTGTCAATAGATGCACACAGCGCGGCTTGGCATCTAGCTCACATGAGTGCTTACAAAGAAAGCCTCTTGCTATGGGGGCACTTGGAAGACAGAAGGAGCCAGGAGTGGGGGACCCCAGGAGAATAGGATTGGGGCCATTCTGTGCAAAACCATTGCACAGAGCAGGTAAGTAAAACATGTTTGTTAATTTTAAAAATTTAAAAAGAAACCTTTACATTCACTTTAAAGTCATAGGTCCTAGTTTAAATTAATAATTTCATAATGAAACCTGATAGGGGAGCTAATACTAGCTAGGTACCCACATGTAAGAGGTATAGATATAAGCATAACAATGTGCATGCTATGAATGACAGCGCAGGTGTATTTTCAGTAGAAGGTGCTCTTTGAGTAGGCATAGAAAAAAATATATATATTAAAAGTGTAGGTTAATGCCTAAAACCAATTTTGTTCACTGACACCCCAGCCTCTGTAGTAATGTCTGGTTTCTTTGTACAGACCACAAAGGGCCATATAGCATTTATTAGTTTTGCCACTAGTTGTCCTGTTGGACTGAAGGGCACATGCTAACTGGGAGATGGGAGATGTGATTCTGTGTCATTATTATTATTATTATTATTATATTATATATTATATCATTATTAGACAGGATTTATATAGCGCCAACAGTTTAAGCAGCGCTTTACAACACAAGGGCAGACAGTATTCATTAATAATAATGTGCTGTGCCTGTCTTTGTGATGGTGCAAGTTTCAGGGGTAATCAGTATTATTCTTAGTTTCTATGTAACCCTGAGTGCGAGCAAAAACACTTCACTCAAGCTCTACTGCAAATCAGAAAGATGTGAGCAGGATGCTGGTGCTCAGGCTGATTTCTTAAGTCCAAGATATGTAGCAATATAGCCGGCAACTCATTTCTTCATCATAATATCTTTATTGGCGCACAGTAGAATACATAAAATCCATAAAATCTGATGCATTTCGGCCACAGACTTTCTCAAAGGCTGTGGCCGAAACACATCAGCTTTTATGGATTTTATATCTTCTACTGTGTGCCAATAAAGATATTATGATGAAGAAATGAGTTGCCGGCTATATTGCTACATATCTTTAACCCTGAGTGTGAACCTACATTAATATCAGCACAAGATCATGTACAAGATACTGAGATCCTGTTCAAAGGCACTGTCTGTCTGGCTACATGGATTGCTACAATTCAACAAGGTCATATTTGGCACCATTTGCTTTTCTTTCTACAGAGATTTATACATTGTTGCTGGAAGAGATTGAGTTACTAAAGGCAAATATACTGTTCATTGCATGGAAATTTTCCCCAGAGCTTAGTAAATGTGGTGAAATTTCACTTTGCAAGGAATACCCAATCTCAATTACATGCAAGGAAAAAAAAACGGTGACAGTGAACATTTGTTATTAAAATCTTTATTACATTTATTAGGAATGCCTACAAGATTTTTTTATTTCAGTGCACAACTTGTGTAATATTGCACTGATGGCTGTCTGCCAGCTAAGAATTTCTGTAACAATGTAAATGGCTTAAGTGTTTGTTTCCAGACAGGACTCTCTCAGCCCAGGCACTTCCCAAATTCATTGTTCCTTTGTTCTAACGGATGTTAAAGGGACTAAGTGTTTTGTTTTCTGGGCCAGATAGATTAGATAAAGTCTGAATTTTTTAACCTCACCTTCTAGGCACGCAAACCATTTTTATAACTATGTCATACAACTCCAGAGACACAATGTTCAAAGTACTAGAACTTCTATTAGGAAACACAAAATATTTCTCCTTACGCCATCACCTCAGTGGAAGATAGTTATGAAGTGCATTTTTGCAGACACACTGAGAAATATTGTATCAATCATGATCAACAATTTTTAAAGTGCACTTGCTGTAATACACCTGTCACAATGCAGACAGACATCTTGCTGGCTGAGAACATCTCTTTAAAAACATTGCCAACCAATTAAACAGTAAAAAGTTCAATTATTTTGAACCAGATCATGCCTCATATATACTTGCTATGAATTGCTAGACATTACAAGAGCTGTTATTAATCTCATGCACATGGTCCCTGCAAAAAATACTGCTTTATTGCTCATAAAATGTATGGTTTCACCACATTTCAGCATCATGTCTGCACATCTTCCATATGAAAGATATTGGATCAAAGATAGAATAAGGGAGAATGGGACCAAAGGCAAGATAACAGTTTTAGCACCTCCACCCATCCCTTAATAATTTACATTAATAAGGATTGTAACAGACAGAGAGAGTGAAGCCATGTACTGGCATTGTGCCCTCCATTAGGCACCAGCTGTCTACAAGTGTGTTCTCCCTTGTAAAGTGAAGGAAGGGTGCAAAGCTTTGACCAACTATGCAATCCCCCAGAATTACTACAGGAGCACAGAAGTTGTAGCTGGCCCTATAGTCATCCACTGTTACCTTGTGGATGACCTGGTTCTGTTTAGGATAGATCCTGAGGACAGGAGGGGAACACCGCTAGATGCCCTTGGGTTTGGCTTAGTGTATTTCCTGGGGAAGCAATTGTGATTATCCAGAAAAATCCAACTCAGCCTATCAATTTTGCCACTGAAGAGGGTCACTTAGGATGTCTGGGGAGGTCAGAAAGTGAATGCATACAAACATACTATTGCTAGCTAATCTGACAGATGGAGCAAGGACTGATCATTTTAAGCCATTTTTCTCAGACCTACTTATTAGTGCTCTCATCGATTCCAGGCAAATACTTACTGATGTGCTTGGACTCGGTAATAACATTGATTATGAGAAAGTTCTGGAGGTATCCAAAATGCAAGTGTTTTCCTGGTACAGGATATTATTTAACCATAGATGGCATACAGTATGTAGAATTATAGAAACAAAGAGAAGGGACAATGTGTAAGATTTCCCATAATCCTTCGTAGACTTAATAAACACCTAAATTGAGGTCCATTGCAAATAAAGATCTTCATGACAATTCTAACAAAATTAAAAATCTTATATTGTGTATTGTTTCTTTTATTTTAGACCCTCTTCCTCCATCAAAATTTGAGGTAAGAAGAAACACAGTCACACCAAATAGTTTCCAGGTCTTTTGGAAACCATCTTTAGGATGGGTAGATGAATATGAACTGCATTTACTTAATGATAAAAGGGAAAGTGTCCAAAAGAATGATGTCCCTGGCAGTAGTGTAGTAAAAGAAGCAACGTTTACAAACCTGAATCCAGGCACCAAATATATTGTTTCCATAAAAGCTACTTCTGGGATGAAAAGCACCCCTACTACCTTCATCAATGCCTCCACAGGTAAGACTCTTTATATTGGTCACTGTTTATAACTACAGATAAAGAGGTGTCTATTTAAAGTGTATATACATTTATATGTTCCAATATGCCTGTGTATTTTCAAACTTTGGAAAAACATATTATTGATTCTCTGTTTAAGAGATAGCCACATGCAAATGCATTAATGGCTCATATTCCCTAAAGTAATATGAGGTTCAGGATCAGTTTAATAAGTTTACCATTGTTTTTACTATTGCATGTGTTTTTTGTTTTTGTGCAGGGGGTTATACTTTTAAAGAATCTTTCAGTTATTTAAAGCAGAACTTCACACTCTCAGTCAACATGGACTATTTTTATTCTTTAGGTTGCTAGCATTAGTAAATAGATAGGAAAGTATATCGTATTTACTTGTTTTAAACCATTTTTAAAAATGTTTCAGTTACTTCCTCATTTCCATGCCTAGGCAAATGATGTCATACATCCTGGCAGACTTCAGGAGGAGAGGGAGGGTTTTCAGCTCAGCCTATGCCTGAGCTAAGGGCAGATGCATTCCAGGAAGTAAATCATATGTGAATCGTTTGCCCTTACTCAAGATAGCCATTGCCAGAAATGCCAGGGGGTGTTTTTAAAGTGATTTTTCAGAAAAATAAAGCATTGAGATATGGATGGATGGGTGAGTTTGCTTTTAGTATTACAAAATGAGTATTAAAAAGCATTTTTGGTTTGTGGTACTCAGATGAAGTGCAGTTCCACTTTAGTTGGTTGTTCTGCAATAAATTTATTTGCACAGTGCAATATATTATTGTTATTATTATACAGGATTTATATAGTGGCAACAGTTTACACAGTGCTTTACAACATAAGGGCAGACAGTACAATTACAATACAAATTAATACAGGAGGATTCAGAGGGCCCTGCTCATTAGAGCTTACAATCTAAGAGATATATGTTTAATTCTATTAGTTTTGGGTTGAGGAAAACCATTTAATTTATAGCAATGTGCTTTAAAAATGTTCTCAGTGCTCCACTGGCTTCAGGACCCTGACAGAAATGGATGAAATAAAAAAAGGTAGGGAGGAGAGCCCGGCTTGGGGCCCTGACAAAGTCTTGTGACCAGAGGCGGACTGACCATTTGGAAACTCGGGCACTGCCCGATGGCCCGGGGTCAGTAGGGGGCCCCATGAGATGTCCCTGGTACCTTTTTCATAGGCTTGTTTGAGTTTGGGCAAGGACAAAGGGGCCCCATGATCCCCTATTGCCTGGGGGCCCCATGAGTTGTCAGTGCGCCCCTGCTTGTGATTGGCTTTCCTTCAATCATGGAGTTCTTTCTGCTGCGTTAGGACATTGTAGGCTCTACACAGTAGCTCCAATTATATGAATGTGCCATAAAATGAAGACTGTAATAGCTAAAGAATGTATAGTGGAATTTAAATAGAGATATTCACTCCACATTATGATTGGACTTGGTTTGGGCTGGAGACTGCGCTTGTTTGATTGCTTGTCACTAGTAGTTGCTAGGTGGCTCCATGGAGAGTGAGGAAGGGATCACCTCCAGTGGGTTTCACTCAACGGTGGGTGGTGGTGATGATGGACCCCTTTGGGGGCTTGGGTTCCTACCTATATGATATGAAAATGTGGTCGTTTTGGGAACCACTTTGGAGCCCACTCCCATCCATAAGCAAACACTAACAGCCTTTCAGAAAGGGGAGGAATTTTCCCCAAAACACATTGGCTTGATTTATATGTTTAAACTTTCAATAAAAGTTCTTAATCCTACATCAAGAGTTGGACCCATTCTGGACCCTGGGTGCTCCTCTCTCCTCATGCCAGTACATTATGACTGGAGGCATTTGTTAAACTACTAGCATGAATATTTCTTAAAGGAAACTTTTAGCGACATAATTATGGAGGCAGCCATTGCTCTCTTTTTAAGAATACTAGTTATCTGGCTGGCTCTAGATTCAATTTTTTCTGAGTTAGAAAACTTGGACCAGGCAGACTAGAAAGTCAGAGTGAAGTTAGAATATCTGGTCTTCAGATTTGTTCCAGGTTTATGCCTTAAGAAGCATTGATATCATGGAAGTACAACAGCCAGAAGAAGAAGAGGAATAGCAATAGCAGCCTCAACTACCTCCTTTCACAGGTTTCTTTTTAACAGTGTCAGCAAATAGGCATAGCTTGTTCCATGTGCTTCTAGGATTGTTGCAGAAGGGCTGCTTTATAAATGTTCTTGTTACTGTATTTCATTTAATTTGTATATTTGGTTTTGGTGTATGTGTATGTTTCATTTATTGTTTGAACTGTATATTTATATCTTGGATTGTTTGCAAGTGTTTGTAATTTTGATGACAGTTACTGATTTAGTTAAGGATGTCTTCTTCTTTTCATTTTAGTGCCAATGCCTGTGAATATTGTTGATGTTGTGAGTAAATCAGACAGCATCCAAATTACCTGGAAGCCTGGTTCTGGAATCTCAGAGAACTACAAGCTGATCTTATGGGGTCAGGAGAGGACAATAAAGGAGGTCAATGTGGATGCACAGGTTACTGGGCACACTTTTCATGGACTTCTTCCAGGACATATTTATAATATCACAATCATCACTGAAGCTGCAGGTTTACAGAACAGCAACTCTAAATTAGTAAGAACAGGTAATCCAAGGGCAGAACTGTACTGACTGAAAAGCATCAAAATTAATTACTATGTTGTGTATTTTTTGTTTTTTTTTAATTTCTATATGGATTATTACCTAAATGCAGGGGTATCAAACTCAATTTCAAATGTCATAATTTCAAGACTAGATCTCCAGAGCACCCCTCCTTACATCAGATCTCAGGAGCTCCCCCACTATCAGAAGTCGAGAATCCCCCACCCTCCCTTACATCACAGTGCCCCCCCTTACCTTGTGCTGCCAGGAAGAATCTGGGGGAGGAGCTGGGAAGCAGAACATGCAGGGTTTGGAGGTGGACCAGAGGAGAGCTCTAGTCAGCTGCCAGAATTTGCTGAATGTTGAGACTAGGGAAGGTGGAGATTAGGGAGTGCTGCAGTGGCACAGAGAGGAACAGGATCTGTATTAGGAGTTCTGTCCTCCTCTCTGCTGCTGACTGCTGAGACAAGGTGGGGTGACACAAGAAGTGTACTGCAACTGAAAGAAAGGTGCGAGTGCAACGTGAAATGGCCTGGATTCAGCCCACGGGCCTCGTGTTTGACACATGTGCCTAAATGCATGTGCTTACCCATGAAAACTATGATACTACATCAAAGCTTGAGTTCTATAATCCAAGACTTTCAGTTTGAGACAGGCACTGTAATTTTGTACTGTAATTTTAAGTAAGTAAAGTTTAATTAATGATGTTTATTAATTACAAAGATCTTAATCATTGCTGTGACCTTTGCCACAACTAACTAAGAGATCACCTTCAACCATCATAAGAAAGGACTAGCTTTTTCTTTCATCTGAAATTAATGCAAAATTTATAGTGATTTTAAAAGATGAAAAAATCAATCCATGAGTCAGATGGACATGGCAAACTAATGCTCTTCCCTGGTTCTTGCAGATCTAAGATCCTCCTGAATATGTGCATGCTGATTCATCATATTCACTAATAGTCATTTTGTTCAGGAATCTTGATTGTCTAGATGGAATTATTCTCAGAAGGGACAAATCTACATGTACCTATTTAATATGATTAGAGACTTGGTTTTGCCTGGAAATCACATTTATCCAAACTTAGAAGTTTTGGCCATTTTCACATCAATTTGCTCATATCCAAGATTTGCAACTACATGCTTGCTTGAGATTGAGATCTATTATGTTGAAATCATCAATATAATCAGAAGGAATCTGTAGGTTAATAATTTATATGTGTATAGTTTTGTGTGTTAAAGGTAATACTCATCTACATTGGGTACTTACCTTAATTTTTTATACTATTTGCAACTTTATATAAAACCTAGCTTTCATATTCTCTTGTTACGTGTATGTTCTGCAACTTCTGTTTTGTAGTACACAGTGCAATCATTTTGATTTATTACTCTACTTATCTCAGGATAAGTCTACAGACAATGCTCTGCTACAGAGAAAGTGCTCCACTATCTCAGGGACAGCCTAAGGACAAAGCTTTTCTATCTCAGGGCAAGTCTATAGACAAGGCTTTGCTATCTTAGGGCATATCTTTCGATAATGCTGCGCTGTATCTCATGTCAAGTCTACAGAACTATTTTGTATCTAAGCACATGTCTATGGACAATGTTCTGCTATCTCAGGGCAAGTATACAGAAAGTGCTCCACTATTCCAGGACAGGTCTATAAACAATTCTCTGCTATCCAAGGGTAAGTCTATGGGCAATGTTCTGCTATCTTAGGGCCAGGGGTGGACTGACCATTTGGAAACTCGGGCACTGCCCAAGGGCCCGGGCTCAGTAGGGGGCCCCTTGAGATGCTCCTGGTACCTTTTTCATAGTCTTTTTTGAGTTTGGGCAAGGACACAGGGGCCCCATGATCCCCTATTGCCCGGGAGCCCCATGAGTTGTCAGTCCGCCCCTGCTTAGGACAAGTCTATGAAAAGTGCTCTGCCACCAAATGGCAAATCTATGGACAGTGTTCTGCTATCTTAGGGCTAGTCTACGAAAAGTTCTCTGCTACCATAAGGCAAATCTATAGACATTGTTCTTTATCATAGGTCAAGTCTACAAACAGTGCTCTGTTACCTCAGGCAAGTCTACAAACTTTACTTTGCTATCTCAGGGCAACCTTACATCAAGGCAGATCTATGGACATTGCTCTGCTATCTGAGGGCAGGTCTATGGACAGTGCTCTGCAATGTCAGGGAAAGCCTATGGTCAGTATTCTGCTAGCCTACAGCAAGCCTACCTCAGGGCAAGTCTATGGACAATGTCTACAGACAGTGCAATGCTACCTTGGAGCAAGTCATTGACAATGTTCTGCTATCTCTGGGCAAGTCTACGGAAAGTTCTCTGGTACAGACAATGCTCTGCTATCTCAGGACAAGTCTACAGACAATGCTCTGCTATCTTAAGGCAAACGGATGGCTAGTGCCCTTTTAAAAATGGCCAAATAAAAAAATTAATCATTTAGAATCATGATACTCTAAATGAATTTGGTGCAGCAGACATTTTGAAAGGATGGTGGAAGTTACTTTTTGACTTCTAGACAGCCACAAAATGAAGTAATTTCAGATATGTTTATTAACCACTTGCCTACAGGGCACTTATACCCCCTTCCTGCCCAAGCCAATTTTCAGCTTTCAGCGCTGACACAGTTTGAATGACAATTGCGCGGTCATGCAACACTGTACCCATATGAAATTTTTATCATTTTTTTGAGACAGATAGAGCTTTCTTTTGGTGGTACTTAATCACCTCTGGGATTTTTATTTTTTTTAAACAAACCAAAAACCACTGAAAATTTTGAAAAAAAAAAATTTGTTTTCTTAGTTTTTGTTATACAATTTTGTAAATAAGTGATTTTTCTCCTTCACTGATGTGTGCTAATGAAGCTGCAGTGATGGGCACTGATAGGCTGCACTAATGGACACTGATAGGTGGCACTGGAGGCACTGGTAGGTGGCATTGATGGGCATTGACAGGCATCACTGATGGGCGCTGAAAGGCAGCACTGATACATGACACTGATATATGGCACTGATAGGTGGCACTCATAGGCAGCACTGATTGGCACTGATAGGTGGCACTGACTGGCACTGTTAGGCAGCACTGACTGGCAGTTAGGCGGCACTGACTGGCACTGATATGCGGCACTGACTGGCACTGATAGGTGACACTGACTGGCACTGATAGGTGGCACTGATAAGTGGCACTTACTGGCACTGATGGGTGACATCGAAAAGCAGCTCAGATGTGCACTGATTTGTGGCATTGATGTGCACTGGTATGCACTGATATGTGGCATTGAAGTGGCACTGATGGGCACTGGCACGTGGCACTGATGAGCACTGACTGCTGGCACTGATGGACACTGACAGGTGGCACTTCTGGGGCCACACCGATCATCAGGGCACACTGATCATCAGTGACCTGATGATCAGTGTACATGTCCCCTCCGTGGAAAGCCGATTACCTGCTCTCCTCTCCTCTCGAGCAGTCAGCGTGACAGCTTGAGAGGATGAGAGGAGAGAAATGCAGATAACCAGCATTTCCGTGTTTACATGTTATCAGCTGTGATTGGACACAGCTGATCACATGACCGAGCCGACATCTTCGGCTTTTTCCGTGATCCATGATCCGCTGTGTCCGAGGGACACAGCGCACCGGCGATCGCCGCGCTGTGTGCTCCCTGAGCCGCGCATGCGCAGTGAGAATGGAAGGACGTCATATGACGTCCTATCAGAACGAGAGAACCACCTTGCGTTCGTCATTGTACTATATGGCGGGTGGAAGGTGGTTAAAGTGTATATAATCCCAAAACAAAAATGTAATTCATTGCGGCTTACCAGTACTTAGAAGTGGTGGATGCATTTGTTTTCTATTTTTAGCCTTTTATGATATTACTTTCACCTGGCAATACTGTGAATAATGCACTTCCAGTCTCTAGGTGGCTAAACTCACTTTTCAACTGTATATATTGAAGGTGCCATTGCTGTCACCCAGACTGCACTTCCAACATGTCTATCTTTGCTCATCTTCATTATATGGGAGTGATGGGATTAGTAGTCTTCTAAAGAAAGATACCATATTTGCTTTCAATTAGTCTCACAGAAAGTGCTACATTTTTGGCAAGATCAGCATGTGCTTTCTGTATTTGTTGAAAATGTGCTTAGCCTGAAAAAAAAAAACACTAAAAAAAAACACTAATACAGCCACGACCGTTAAGATTTAGGCCTCATGCACACTGGACATTTTGCTATTTCACCTTTCCTCCTAGCAGTGGCATTTTGGCAAAAAAAAAAGCTTGACACTTGTAAACATGTTTAGCCGAGTCAAGTGTTTGGACATTCATTTATTATTCTGGCCATTGAAATTAATTAATGCTCAAGTGCTAAACGCACCTAGCATTAAAACTCGTTTTAGGTGTGTTTACATGCATCAAGTGTTTTTTCTGCCAAAACGTCACTGCTCTTGGACGTGCTGACAGTGGGGTTTTTTTCGGCCTCTAAACGCCCCTGCCTCTAAACTCCTGTAAACGCATGCATGGACACATAGGTTAACATGCAGGGGCGTTTGGAGGCAGTAAAAAACAAATGCCAGATGCCCCGAGGAGCAGCAGAAAAAATGTCCAGTGTCCATGAGGCCTTAGTAAGCTGCAATGTATACATTTTTGTCTTTGATATTCTTTAATTATGATACTAAAAATATGCGATGCAATATGGCATGCATGCGTGGAAATCACATAAAACTTTCAGATCCAAAAAAACCCTACACCACTAAAGACAGTTAATTCTGGCTGCACTGTGACCTTTACAAGAGTTTTTGCCATTCCTCTTGTTTGCCGAATTGTTTAAATAAGTAAATAGAAACTAGGGGGTGGTGGAATTGTGAATACTGCTGCTACATCCCTTGCTTATATCTACAGAACAACAAACACGTCTCCGCTGGGACTTTAAAATGTGTCGAAATGCGTTGGAAATCACGTACTGGAGACAGATCCATGACACAGTAAATTATATGTTGTTTTTTGGAACCTCACTCTTGTATATATGTGATGAAGATAGCCATTAGGCAATGCAGCATACATGTTATCTTTGGAAGATATACTGTGCAAATTGCTGTTATATTGAGAATGTAAATGTATTATAACAGGTTGCACACAACATTCAAATTGTACAAATGAGACCAAGAACTTTTCGGCTCTTAGCGAAGGATTTTTTATATGGGAAATTCAATAAAACTTCATTTTAAGGAATTTTGATGATCAACATTGATTTTATACTTCAATTGTGGCTGCTGAAAAGTCCCAGGGGAGACATGTTTTTTGTTTCGACTAGCAACACTCTTTTTATTATGACAGTTTTACTTTATATTTCACTGTATACTGTATATATTCTATACTCGATGTGTTTAAGTTTTGGAATGTTGTTAACCTGACTTGACAAAATCATAAAGATTCTTTATGCTTCCCCTGTTAGCTCCCGCTCAGGTCTCTGATCTAACTGTGCAGAATGATGGAAGTTCTACCACATTGAAAGTTCGCTGGAGAGCACCTGAAGGCAAGCTGGATTCTTACAATGTCTCTTTGACGGAACAAGGTTCAGTAAAGCGCAGCAGGACTCTGAATGCTGCTTCTACAGAGGTCATCTTTAATGAGTTAACACCAGGACGTGTCTTTATCAGGTTAATGTCACATGTATTGCTGGGAATTAAGCTCTGACAAGATGGCAATTGGAAGAAGAACTGGTGAGTATTCTTTCCCTTGTGTGTCATTTTTGCTGTGGGCTATGTGTGACAAACCGATGACTTTTTCCTCTAAGCAGAGTATGATTGTGTCAGGCCCATTATTACATTTAAAATGTGTTTTTTTTTTCCTGGAACATCTCTTCTGGCTGCCAAAGTAATGTATACTCTATGTTAGATAAGATATAGCAGTTTTATTTTTACTCAAATGCTTACAAAAATATAATCAATTAGCATGCTGTTTCTTAGCTACTTTGCAACTTTGGCACGATATAATGTTTTTTTCACATATATATGCAGCTAGCAACCAAATGTAACTTTTAACCACTTGCCCTCCAGAGGATTTACCTCCCTTCCTGACCAGGCCATTTTTTGCAATAAGGTGCTGCAGTACTTTAACTGACAATTGCGCGCGGTCATGCAATGCTGCACCCCAAATGAAAATTTATGTCCTTTTTTTTCCCCAAAATACAGCTTTCTTTCGGTAGTATTTGATCACCTGTGCGTTTTTTATTTTTTTGCACTGTAAACAAAAAAAGACTGACAATTTTGAAAAAAAACAATATTTTTTTACCTTTTGCTATAAAACATGTCCACTAAATTTTTTTCTAAAAATCTAATTTCTTCATAAATGTATGCTAAAAAATGTATTCTGCTAAAAAAAAAAAAATCCCAATACATGTAAATTAAGCGGTTTATGTGAAAGTTATAGTGCCTACATACTATATACAGTCATGGCCGAAATTGTTGGCACCCTTGATATTTTTCCTGAAAATCAAGTATTTCACACAAAAAAAAAGGTATTGCATTAACACATGTTTTGCTATACACATGTTTATTCCCTTTGTATGTATTGGAACAAATATAAAACAGAGGCAGAAAAGCAAATATGACATAATGTCACACAAAACCCCAAAAATGGGCTGGACAAAAGTATTGGCACCCTTAACGTTAATATTTGGTTGCACACCCTTTGGAAAACATAACTGAAATCAGTCGCTTCCTATAACCATCAATAAGCTTCTGACACCTCTCACAAACCCGGAAATTTTGGACCACTCTTCCTTTGCAAACAGCTCCAGGTCTCTCTTATTGGAAGGACACCTTTTCCCAACAGCAATTTTTAAGATTCTCTCCCACAGGTGTTCATGGGATTCTTAGATCTGGGGCTCATTGCTGGCCACTTCAGAACTCTCCAGCGCTTCTTTGCCATCCATTTCTGAGTGCTTTTTTGACGTATGTTTGGGGTCATTGTCCTGCTGGAAGACCCAGGATCTTGGACCGCAAACCCAGCTTTCTGACACTGGGCCCTACAGTGCGACCCCAAAATCCTTTGGTAATAATTTCATCCTTGCACTAGATTTCATGATGCCCTTGCACACAGTACTTCAATTGCACTGCTGAAAAGTCCCAGGGAGCACCCAAAACAACCCCATGTTTTTTGTTTCAACTAGCACTGTGTTTTGTTCTTTTTTATTTTGACAGTTTAGAATGACTTTACCGAAAATCTCACTGGTACTGTATATATTCTATACTCAAGACGTTTTCCCAGAAGGTTGTTTGGCTTACAAAATCATAAAGATTACATTTTGGCTTCCCCTGTTAGTCTTGCCGCTTTTTATGTCTCTGATGTAACTGTGCAGAAGATGGGGTTCTACCCTGGGTTCGCTGCCATAGCGTTTCATTTCATTCTTAAATGTCTTTTGACGGAATAGTTCGCGTAAAGCGCAGCAGGACTCCCTGAATGCTGCTCTACAGAGGACATCTTTAATGAGTTTGGACACCAGGGATGTCTTTATGGGGCTGCTTATGTCACATGTATTGCTGGGAATTAATTCTGACAAGATGGCAATTGGAAGAACTTGGTGAGTATTCTTTCCCTTGTGTGTCATTTTTGCTGTGGGCTATGTGTGACAACCGATGACTTTTTCCTCTAAGCAGAGTATGATTGTGTCAGGCCCATTATTACATTTAAAATGGTTGTTTTTTTTTCCTGGAACATCTCTTCTGGCTGTGGACAAAGTAATCTGTTCTCTATACTCTTATGTTAGATAAGATATGCCAGAAGTTTTTTTACTCAAATGCTTCAAAAAGTATAATCAATTAGCCTCTGTTCTGTTGCTCCTTTTGCAACTTGTGGCACGATATAATGTTTTTCACATATATGCACAGCAATGCAAATGTTAAGTTAAACGTCTCTCCTCCAGAGGATTTTTCCCTTCTGACCAGGCCATTTTTTTCAATAGGTGCCCAGTACCTTTAACTGCCCCAGTGAGCAGGAGCATCAACATGCTTGCACCCAAATGAAACATGTCTTATTTATCCCAAGTTGTGAAAGGGTGCCGGTAGTATTTGTCCCTGCCCAATTTGCGTTTTTTTGGAGGTTTGTGTGCATGTAAACAAAAAAAAATTGACTTTTTGAAAAAAAAACAATATTTTTTTTTTTGTCTATAAAACATACCACTAAAGGGAATAAAAATGTAATAGCTTCAAAATGTATGCTAAAATGTATTCTGCTAAAAAAAAAAAAAATTTCCCTGGAGTAAATATAAGTGGTTTATGTGAACAATTATAGCGCTACATGACTATATATACTGGAATTTTTTTTTCACTATACTAATAACAGCAGCGATCAGTGACTTATAGCGGGACTATGGGACTGCGGCGGGCATTCTGGCACTGGGTGGAAACTCACTAACTGCCACTGACATCCCAATGACACTAATACTGTGAACAGTGCTAATAAAAAGCACTGACACTGTACTGATGACACTGGGCAGGAAGGGGTTAACATCTGGGGCGATCAAAGGGTTCACTGTGTGATGTTTGCTGTTTTACGTTATTTCTGTGTGTGTTTTACAAGGGAGACATGCTGCTGTGTATTTCTCTGCACAGCAGAGAAATACACAGCAG